TAAAAAATAGCGAATGTGATCACGGTTGACAAGTACTAAAATTTTACTTTTTTTTTTCTTTTTTTTCTAAATTGATTTTCCAAATCAAATGAATATCAGAATAGAATTTATACCAATCGATAGTGCGAGGTCACCTTGCATCTTGTTAACATCTAACAAAACTTCGTTTTCCTGTCGATAGGGATTTTTCGCTGTTTAACAATAACAGTTATATACGAAACGTTGTACTGTTTTTGTTCCTTTCTGTTGACTTAAAGGATTCTTGTTCTTGATCACGTCCGTCGGCTTTGGTAGTTAAATAAGCGCGTGATAACAGTATTTTTTCTTTAACGTTGTGTTGCTTATTCGAAATAATTTTCCAGTAATGAGTGGACATTTATCTGTTGGTGAAGGGTGGCGAATAATTTCGTTATATTATGATCAAAACATATCTCCATCTGTAATAGCTGTTAGCATTGATTGTACAGCTAGGACTGTACGTAATATTGTACGATTATATGATGAAACAGGCGATGTTATAGAACGAGAGGGCCGTGGTCGTCCATCATTAGGCAAGACAAAAATAACAAAAGTGCTCATGAAAATATACAGATGAATAGAGAATTTTACGCACTATCGATTGGTATAAATTCTATTCTGATATTCATTTGATTTGGAAAATCAATTTAGAAAAAAAAGAAAAAAAAAAGTAAAATTTTAGTACTTGTCAACCGTGATCACATTCGCTATTTTTTAACTATTGATTAACAGATAAGTGTGAGAAGATGGGTAAGTATATGGGATGATAGAGAATTTCAAGCTCTATCAGAGTATGTGATTACTTTTTTTAAAGCTTATTTTTACTATCGAAAAAAATTTGAAAAACTATGCGAGACGTCAATGATTGTATTAGGTATATCGAAATGGAGTACTAAAGGTGTGTACACTTCATTGGAAGAATTTTTTATACAGCCGTCCGAACAAAAATATAAATATACAGAAAGATGTAAAATTTCACGGGCTTCCCGAATATGTCGTTACTTTTTAAAAAATATGTTTGTTTGGTAACAATATCCTTAAAATACAGAGGGAAACTTATTTTTGCCAGGGGTATATATCGCTGACAGCAAACGCCTTAACTGAATGATCATTCATCGTCGGAAACTATTTCTATATTAAAGATTGTTGTTGCACAAAGATAGAGAGTTTATTAAGAAGAAGTCAGTTCACCTAGCACACATCTCATGGCTGACATCAACCTCGATCTTGTATCGATCGCAGATGAACGCGTGCATGGAAATGTCAATGGACAAATGGTATTTTGTCCAATTTGTCATCATCTTCTCTGGAAACCCGTTGCGTGTAGAGCATGCGAAAGCACTTTTTGTTCTCGATGCATTCAGCAATGGCTAAACACAAAACCAAACATGTGTCCATTCAATTGCTAGTATGAACGACGCAAGTGCCCACCTCTCCTGATGACCATCTTGTCAAAAGTGACTATCAACTATCAGTATAACACAAACGGTTGTAGTCAAGTGGTGGCCTATGAAGCATTAGAAAAGCATGAAAGTGAATGTGGCTATCATATGGTTCGATGTGGAGGATGTGATCAGCAGAAACTGCAAAAAGAGTTTTGTGAACATCACCAAGAGTGTGCAGATGTTACAGTTACATGCACAAAGTGCGAGAGGATGTACAAACGAAAAGACATATCAGATCACAATGGCATTGTGTGTTTACAAAATCAGCCTGATTCAACAAAAGAAGAACTGAAACAAAAGTTATCCAGGATAAAAGTGATCGAGGAGATGCTGAAAACACAATTCGAACAACTAAATGGGAACGATCAAAAGTATACAACTGCTATTGGTCAACGAAGCATTAGAATCGAACAGTTGGAGTGGTTTCCTCGTGAGCAGGATTCCCACAATACAAGAAAATACTCTCGTATACATTATAAACTATTATTTTTTTAATTCAAAAAGATGCAATATCAAAATGTAAAATAAAATTAAACAGTTACAAACACAAGTAAGAATAACTAAATAAGAGAAAATAACTGCTTGTATAAGTGAAAATAATTTGTCAATAATTGCACTCTTTGTTGTTTATTTTAAATAAACGCTTTTATTCGTAAATATCAATGTTCATCCCTTCATTCACTTTCTAGAAGGAATGTATTTGTTGACACGACTGGGTCTTTATTACTTTTAGAAGAAAACTCTAACGAATATATGCATTCTCACTTCTGTGTTTCTTTCGTTTGTTTCAATAACCAACAATAAATTTCTAAATTATTATAAGTGTCTGTCCACGAATCATGTTTCAGTGTCGGATAAATAGTTAATTGACATTTTCCTTGTTCTTCTCGTTCTAATCTTTTCACAAGTTGTTCACTTTCTTCCACAGGTACCACATCGTCTAATTTACCATGAAATACCCATATAGGTAAATGTGACAAACATTTTACAAGTGAACAATCACCACCACCACAAACTGGTAGAATAGCAGCAAAACGATGCGGTGATGACATTGCTAATGACCAAGCACCATAGCCACCTAAACAGACAGAGAACAGAGAACTATTATAGTTCAAAAGTCTATGTGTTTGCTCTAGCATTCAGATACAGCCTTGCAGGTTACAACTTTTTCATAGCCTATAACCTGTCCTATAAAAACTTTAACAACCTATAACCTTTCATAACCTTATACCTCGTAATCTGTAACCTGTCCTAACTCGCAATATTTTTTACGTAACCTGTACTGTTCTGTCCTACAAAAAAATTACTGCAAAACATGAGTATCCAAGTTCGAAAAATTTTTCCGATAAAATAAATTCTTTTCATTTACTTTATTTATGCAGCAAAAAACAACAACAAAAGATCACACATCTCGGAAATTTCTGATGAAGAATATATTGTCAACAACATCTGTATTCAACGACTGTCTTCGTAGTTCCAATACTCTTCCGTATGCAACAAATAATTTTATAGGACAGGTTATGCTTGACCTGCACGGCTCTACATCCAGACTACGCTACTTATTCGTTTGATCACCCAAATTGTGAAGCTTTCAGTGCACAAGTTAATCTGTATCGTGAAAGTTTGAAAAAAACAGGAAAACGACTAGCCAAACAACGCAGTGAAAGTGTACGTTATAGAGTTTTGTAGAGCAGAAAATTATCTATCTTCTGAAGTCAGAATGAAGTCTTGGGGTCTATACAGGATATACATAAAAGTAGGTACATGAATAACCCCATCATTTCAGGATAATCCGTTCTTAGTGGCAAAATGTTAGGAAAAATGTTAGGAAAAATTTTATTTCTCAATGCGCATTAATTAAATGAAGATGAATTCTTTACGCAAAGTACTTGTGATGATAGAAGCGTTATTAAATAATCAATTAGATCAAGTACAAAAATAATTATAACCTGTACAATTATTCTTCTTGCATTTCCCTACTCTGCACTATTTTTCTAAAATAATGAAATAATATGTAATGAAAGGAGGTAATAGATTCGGTAGAGTAGAAAATTTTCTATCGAATAAGTTTAGAATGGAATCTTCAAATCTCGCTTGTGCTCAGAAGAAAAGAGAACAAAAGTGTGTCATTATTTCTGGCCCACCCGTTACTGAGCTCTATTCGACTAACTATTTCAAAAATGATCAATGCTAGGCTTCTTTTCCTCTAGCAAAAAAACATTTTTAGTATCATTTACCCATAGAAATTCCAGTGACGTAGATTCTATTTATGTCCACTCTGTAATCCTGCTCTAATTCATCTAAAAGTGATTTTAACACTTGAACATTCCAACCATAACTTCGTCTTACTTGTGGTGAACAGGTAATAAATTTTTCCGTTACAAAACGTGCACATTCTTGATTAACATCGTCAAATAAACCAGTGGAATATGATTGAACTAATTTTGGTATGCCATGTGTTTTTACTTTATCAATAGGCGATCCTATTTCACCGGCACCATGTAAGAAAAGAATGAGTGGCCATCGAACAGAATTATTGTTATTATAATCGGGTGGTAACGAGAGTAAGTAGTCATAGACAAATGGTAATGTGTTCGATAATTTCTTTTGGGTAAACGCTTTTAACATTTGATCTAAAACATGCAAGAAAATATTTTAGACTATTTAGCCATGTTATTAAACGTAAAAATTTATTTATTTTTCATTTTCTCACACCTTCAATTGTTAAGAACGTAGTTTTACACCACTTTTTATCACACACAATTCAAAACTATCCATAGTAATTGAAAGATAAACATTTTTCTTCAAAAACTGTAAATTATTCGATCATTGAACGAGAGTGACTGCTGCAACTAATGGACTATGGCTGAAATCTGTAGAAATGTTTTACAAAACTGGGGGCTGTATCACAAAAAAACTTAAGTCAACATTTAGACTTAAATCTCCGTCACTAACTTAAGCCTTTGGACTTAAATTTTACCGTATTTCAAAAACACTTAAGTCAATGGGTAACTTAAGTCATCGGAAATGTAGTCTTAAAGTTAACAGCGAAAACTTAAGTCATTAACGCATGTTTGGAATTGCTCAGGCATTTAACGATACGATTCAACGAAAACGACTTTCTAAGGTTTATTTTGCGAATTTTTGTCCCAAGTTTGTCGCTGTTGTCAATGACTTTCAAAAAGTAAACAAGTCTTTTCGTAATACGGTTTAAATCCCCGGACTTAAGTCGGTCTTAAACTTAGACTTAAGTCCCGGTCCTTAAGTTTTTTCATGATACAACCCCATGTGTCATAGCATGTTGTCTAGGCCATTCGAATAACGTACAATTATCATGCAATAATCTCTCATATAGCTAATCCAAATTAATTCTAACTTGATCTTATTGGTTTATACATGAACAACGGCAACCAGTTCTAGAAGAAAAATGTACAACAAGAAATCAAAATTCATTCTTCATTTAAATATATCAGAAAACAATTAAGATGTGTATATTGAAGAATGTCTTAGAGATACATGTTCAAAAATCGTCAGTTTTTACAGTTTTTGAGAAAAAATGTTTATCCTTTTAATTACTATCCATTCTAAAATATAGTGTTTAATAGAAAGTAAAGTAAAACGACATTCTTCACGATGAGATTGTTGGAAATGAAGAAATAATGAATGTTCATGTCTAATAGTATGAGTATTTTCTACAAGTACAGAGAAGTTTTAGATTTTATCTTGAAAATTCTCTGTAAAGTGTGGAAAATAAATCATGAACATCAGGAAAAATTGAAAGATAAATTTCTAATGAAATATATATATTTTTCACCGCTACCGTATAACAATAAAAAGAAATCGTAAATTCTTATTCAGATGAGCTTAAAATTCAGAATAGGCATAGTTTTAGACGCCGTGTCGAGTTCTATCTCATAACTTAATAAAAAGTTCTTAAACAAGAATGACTTTTCAAAATTTCAATATTAAAAAATGTTTCAACAAACTTTACACTTTTTGCTCTAAAAGAAATTATCAGATTTTGCTTTAGTTGTTGAAAATCTATTGCTCTTTCAGATTACATGCGACCTTTTCTTGTAAAGATTTGTGCGTTCATCCAAAATACTCGCTTTTCTATCAAACAGTATTCATGAATGTTCACAGGTATTACATATTGAAACGAATAGTACGTACGACGAAAAAAACCAATTCACAGCCATTATCAAAAAGAAATTAATATACGAATTCAATAAAACATTCTCGATAACTTTATTTCAAACAATTGTTTTTCCGATTGACAGCAACGAAATTCACTAAGAATTTCAGTCGAGTTGTATTCCCTGAAGAGGGCATGCATCTATAGTCTGACTAAGATCTATAGTTCAATCGAATATACTTTCACTCATTTCCATTAATCTGGAAAATTAACCATAATCTAGAACAGAGTAATACTTTCGAACATCAAACTTTCAATAGAAACATGATTTTTGAGCAAGATTATTGTGTGCGCAATTTTTCAGCTAAAAATTACAAACAAATTCAAGAATGTTATTTATCTAAAAATGCAAACGGTTTACGAGAGTTGATCACGTGATACACATAATAAATCGTCATTGCAAAACAGGAAAACATCTCTTTTGCTTTGAAATCGATCATCATTAATATCACGTTGACTATGTTGAATCAACTGGTCAATATTCAACAAGCCAGTGTGAAGGTGATCAATAACTGTGAGTGATTTATTATTTTTCTATGTTCTTGAGCATTGAAATAGTACAAACAAACAAATCTTTATTCCTTAGTTTGAACTAAACTTCTCTTAATGTCATTTACATAGATTACTAATAAAAATAAACAACAGACTGGTTAATAATAATGAGTCAATAAAGTCGCCGATTCATCGACTCTTCTGCGAATTTTTGTAAACAGATGTTAAGAAATAGCTAAACTTTAGAAAACTAACAAAACAACGGGTATTACTGAACGTAGTCATTAAAAAAACTTTTAATATAGCTTCCTCTTGAATTACTGACATACCAGATGAGTACTTGAAAAGCTGAAGCAAATTCACACTATGTCATGCTAATATGTTTTGCGTAAAACTACTTTTCGAACTCATTCTTACACTGCCCTCACCGCTCATCACACACTGCTAGAAATACCTAAGTTTTTGTTAGAAAAAATTCGCAGAAGAGTCATGTCACGAGCATAGTCATCGCTTTTATATATGCTACTTGATTAAAACAGTGCTACAACTAAAAAAGTGCTCACATAGATGTTCTTCAGTATTGTTAGATGTGAGTTTTATTCCTAGACTCAAAAATGGAAAAAGGGTAAAAGTATTAAATTATCGTATATTTCTTCTAAGAAGATGACTAAACGGTTGCCTAAACAATAAGAGAGCTCTCAGTACGATTAAAGGAGACAATTATTATTTCTTGGTTACCATTATTTATTTAGTTGAAGACTTTGTTTATGCAAAAACTGAACCGCTAAATTCCATAAAAGCGAGTTCATCGTGAGTAATATCAATTTAACAATTTCACGCGTTCACATCATCGATTACAAATAAAAAATACCACGTCAAAAACAAAAGCCTTTAAACGATGGAGATCAAGGTTATAACTGGTCAGGGCCTGTGAACCAAAGTGATTGATTCTCATTTTGAATTTGTCGTATAGTAGTGTAGACCCATACCGCTTCCGGTGTAGAGTGAGAAAAAAAATACACAAAATAGAATTTGAAACATAAATAGAAAGCTCGATTATATTGTTTTCGTTAAATTCGGTTTTTTTCTGAATGTCAGAAGTAATAAGAAACATAAAGAAACCGTATCACAGTATTATTATTCAATATAGTTTTGACCAACTACGTAATTTTCTCCATCTTTTATGCACTTTAGAAAACAAATACGAATATCAACCAAATGGCTAGCGTAAACAAGTAAACAATAATTTACCCTTGACTTTAGTCTAGGGTCTTACAAACTGGTTGTCTTTGTGTGTGTGTATGCACAAAATACGGAAAAATGGGTACTAGATATTCTATGGATAAGCGAATCACAAGAGAGAGAAGTAGAAAATTATTTTAATGTTCAAAGAGATGATCTGAAGTATCTATCGCTGCGGAGAGACAAAAATCTAAGCAAACGTTTTCTGTAGGCCGGGGAAAGATGTCGCCAGACAGCAGTCAACTGTGATAATACAACGAAAGTTGGCTACGGATAATAAAACTTACAGTGTATAGAGAATCTATCATAGCGAATCGATTAAAAATAGTTCCAATCTGCGTAGGATGCGTAGAGGATGCCCAGAAAACCTTTTACCTTTATTTACATTCGACGGTTTTTCCGTGGAAGCAGAGAAGTTCACAGCGTTTCTCAGCTATAGTGGCTGCGAACGCTGACCAAAGGGAGGCATGAGCATTGCTTTGAGTTCAGAAATATTTTTAGACCCCTGGGATTTTTTGCCTTTTATATTTACATTAGATTACGAAGCTTACACATGAAAACAGAAAAACATCAAGAAGATCGCTTAGTCAGGCCCCCCAGCGAGCGCCGATCGAAGAGAAGCGTGAGCATTGACTTCGATTTAAAAGTCAAGACAGGGCATTAAGCAGCGCAGATCCAGATTATTAAAGTCAACTGACTGAGTGAGTGGAGATGAGCGTTACCTTGTGACAAAAATTCTTCACAGCACAAACCGTACCGAGAATTACCTGCCAATAACAGCTGCCAAAAATGGCAATAAAAAATATAGCACGTGCTGTAAAATATAGACGTGAACACGCTCTTCTATCGGTGAGTGCAGCTATATTAGTATGTAGACTGTCGATAATTATTTGCTATATAAGGGAATTTATTCGGTGAAATTCGTTGGATGAAAGTTTTGGATTTAAACAAGAACTAGATCAGATTTCATTTCCTGTTTTCGTTTTTAGCGTCTCTGTTGCAAGTACCGACATATTCATCATACAGTACGATAGATGGCCCTGCTTTTGTGAACATCTCGCTACTTGTAGCAAGGCCCTAAAAAACGAAAACAGGAAATGAAATCTCATGTAGTCCTTGTTGGTGATCGAGAAATTATGGCTACGGCTACATATGGTTGTTTACCTGAAATCTAGTCTTCTAATCTTTGAATACAGTTTAGCTGGGACAATCTTGGGTTTCCACGGAAAAGCAGTAGTGTAAGAATGATGAAGAAGGAAAGTGTGGGCTACAAAATAAGACTACTCTCAGTACTCCCCGACCTTTTTCCAAAAAGTTATGGATTTTTGAAGTTTTTCCTTCAAAATCTAAAAAGCTCAATTTTTTAGTTTCATAACTTTTCTCTCATTTTCTGCACATTCAAAATTTTTCTTACACATAGTCTGATAGAAGAAAGTGTTTTCTTCACAATAAGACGTTTTACAGAATTTTCCGATGAGTTTTCGCGAAGATATAAGTATCGCGGCAAATGCTCTTGGACAAAATGCGTTTTTCTCGAAAACTATTTTTTTGCTACCAGGTTCATTATGTCACATTAAGACCGCCCTTAAATTTCATCCGATCGAGTTCAAAATTCTACCAGAGGAACTCAAGACACACTGCAGAGGTAATTTTTTGGCATTTTATTTTAGACTTTTCTTTACCGATTTATAGGGTTTCTAAAATCGAAAAACTTGGTTTTTGATTTTAGCTGATACAGAAAAAGCAAAAAAAAAACAATTGGAGAGAAAAGCTGAAAGGAGATGAGCAGTCAATGAGTACTGATAATATTTCTATAGCCATGAGTTTTTCTTGTGCGGTCACTGTAATATTGACTAACAGAAAATGTTGCGCTACACGTGCAATCTACAGTGGACAACACTACAGAGAAAAAGAACAAAGAAGAATAAAAGAAGTAAAAGTTATGATCTGTTAAGGTGTCATTGGGAGCAGATCATAACAATATCTTAGGCTATTGCGTGATGAAAGTGGAAAGTACAGTCGATCACAAAAGTATTTTACCACTTTTAAAATTTTCCTCGTATTTGAACGAAGTAAATTCTACTTATATAATTATATCCGTGCGTAGCACAGTGGGCAACCATGTGGACATTAGGTGGAAAAATGAAAGTGGACTTTTGGCAAATTCAAATAGCAGAACATATACTTGGGTAAACGCTCTATCTTTTTGCCCTTGGAAGTTTTTTTTAGGTGTCATAATTAGCGAGAAATGAGTGAATCAAATTTTTGTCGAAAAACAGAGCGATAAAGATAAAAAAGTTATTTTTGTCGAAACAAAGAACGACGTTTGCAAATTTTATACACAACGCAAAACTAGACTTACCATTCTATCTACTCATGAAAAAAATTTTATCCCTGAAAGTTCTACCTTACCAACGATACATTCCAAATGCGTTTCTGAGATTGTGTAGAGTAGAGTAGAGTATAATGATTACTAATCTAAAAACTATTCGTATAATCATTAACTCCAGATAGTTGGATAAAAACATTACTAACAAATACTTCTAATAACAGTTGGACATCATCATAACTGATAGAATATCTGGTAGTGTTTCAATCAGGATTCACACAATCACACTGGCAATAATAACGGCTAGCTTGGCAACGCCTTTCTCTGCCATTTCAAGTAAACAGACACAAAGTCATGAATCTATTTCTATTATCTGAAAATTTTAACGGATTTAGATTTGTTTTCTGAGAGCGACGGATACAGAACAACATAGACTTAGGTAAAATACAAAAGTACGTCTGCGGACCGATTTGTATCTCTTCAATGGAAAAGTTATAGATTGACTAACAAAATCCCTGAAAAAGTGTACGAAACTCTGTTAAACTGGTGGATTAAACTAAATTGATGGACAATCATATAGGATCTGTTCGAATAGTCTCACTCTGGGTCAATCACTTTTCTTCACAAGAAAATATTGTCTTCGGAAATCAGTACTAGAAAGTTAAAATCCAAGGCAATGTGCAATGCTGCTTTCTTGTCTCTGAAATATAGTTCTCATTCTAAAAAACTAGTTCACGCTCGTGCTATTACACAAGGTAAAATACAACGCTTTTTACTTGCTGTGTAAAAGACCAAAACCTCGTTTCTCTTATTCAGTTGATACTATTCATGTTGAACGAAACTTTATTCTAAAAATATTGTAGATTCGTTATCATACCACCTCAGAGCAGGAACGGGTCCGGTAAACCAGTAAACCGGTATCGTTATTGTGAAGGTTCTCTCACATGTGCTCGCAAACATTTCATTTCTGGGGGAAATTCTTTCTGAAAATCGATTGTTAAAACACTTCGCCAGTATTTGGCCGGTTTGAGTTATAATTCCAACAGACCAGTTTACCAGCCGAACCGCACCGGTTTATCGTTTCTCAACCGGTTCCAGCTCTGTGCCACCTATAGAAGACACTGAGACTGTAAAATGACCCAGGTATGCTAATTTTTAAGACTGTCCTGCGAACAATAACGCATGTTTCTGACACAACACACTGTGAATTTTTAGATGGGTAAATGTTTTACTTCACTTTATATTTACAGTGCGTGTCTCCATCATTTTATAAATACCAAAGGTAGCTTTGAGCAGCGTCGCGCTCACATCAGTAGATTCTTGATTATCTCTATTTCACTCTCCGAATCTTTGTGTATCTGATATTTCACTACATGGAACTTAAACGTTCCTGAAATGAACCTAACAAAAACTGTTTATCCCAGTCATCAATCCATAAGCTATACAAGGATTTGTTAGATAGCAAAGATTAAATAGCTCGGCGTAGCATTTCTAGATTGATGACAGTAATAAATAAAAATTAGTGTGAATAAAATAAATGAACATGTTTGAGTGTTTTGAAATCTCCAATAGCAGAGGACAGTAGAAAAAAAGGAAAAACACCGGTAAATAATATTGTACATTAAAAACTAATTAAACCTAGATGCATGTCCATATCTTAATGACAAAATATGCATATCTAAGAATTTCTCTTTCATTTGAACAGTCATTCGTACGTTGAGGCTATAGTTCGTAAAAAGCAAATTTTTCATTTTAAATGATCAGAAACGTTCATTCCATTGAACGATTTTTCTAACTGACATAATGCCACATTATCGACTTTTTTATTATCTAGCTGTACGTTGGCGACTAAAGATTTCATCATTGGTACATTATCACCATTTCTAATTGTTAAATGACATAAATCATCTCTGATAGATTTGTCATGTACATTTGTATTGAAATAATCATATAAAACAAATGATTTAATACAACGTAAATTATTATTTTCTCTTGCCAGTTGTAACGGTGTTAAATGATCGCTGTTTTCTGTATCAAATATTTCACGTATATTAATCGATTTTTGTTTCAAATAATCGAATATAAATTCAATGGCATCAGTCGAGTCGATGTTTATTGTCAATAAATGAAAGATATTATTTCTTCTATAATCAATATCGTATACTAAATCTATATGTCTGTTTAATAATAGTTCAATTAAATCTTTCCTGTTTAATTTTGCTGCAAGTAACAATGCAGTTTCACCTCGTTCATTTCGTCGTTTTAATGTATCAATTTGTAATACTTTAATTAGTTGTTTTGCTAATGTTAAATGACCATTTTGAATGGCTTTTTCTAACAAAATCTCTTCATGTCGATGAATTAGTAAGCGTGTACATCGAAATAACAATGTAGCATCATTGTTTAATATAAAATCATGCAGTGACAAACATAAATTTTGAATAAAGACATTTTCTTTGCCTATTTTACTCCGCTTGCTATCTACAATGTATAATAAATTATATGCATTGTCATGCATGAGAAATAAACAAATAAAAATTGCCTACCATTGGTAATTGTCATTGGTTTTTGTTCAATCGGCACCTAAATTAATTAGAGAAAAACGTAACAAAGAAAAATTTATATTTCAAAGGACAAGTCTGGATAAGTGGATTTTCCATCCTAAAGAATTTTTGAGGAAAAACTACATGACTGTAATCAGCGTCGAAAACTGAACAAAATGGCCGATTCAGTTTGTCCAAAAAGCCACTTTTAA